TGTAAGTTCACCTCAGTGATGACCGTAGTCGTTTGAGTGTGAGGATTAACCCACAAACTGAAGGGAGAATTTGCCCAGGATTAAAAGGTTAAGAGTCACTGCATGCCCAGGTGTGGCTGGCCTAATTCTATCAAGTTCAGTTTGCAGTTTGACCCCAAAAGACCACAAACAGTGTGGACTAGTTCAATGCAATCGGAACGAAACCAAAGTCCAGTCAATATTGAGTCTATTGACACTTCCCACTTCAAATACTGGCCAGAGTTATTCTCGAGTGCTTCTAGGTGCGATTGCAGTCTGGACACTGATTTTTACAACAATACTGGTACATAATAATACATAGTACATCATATGATGTTCATGTAAGTGGTTCACTGACCAGCCGGGGTTCAACTTGGACTTCACTTGATTGAAGTGTCGAGACAATTCTGTCCCCCTCGTTTTGTCGCCGCATTGTTGTTGTTGTTATAGTTGTTGTTGCTTTCGCTGGGTTTTTTTTCTTCTTTTATTATTTTGTTGCTGCTTTTGTGCAAGGGTGACAATAAAACGAAATGTGTCAGACATGGAAGATTGAGTGCTGATGTTAGAAAAATTGTGAAATTATGCAAACTGAGCCCAAAAATGGGAAATGACGCGAATCTGTTAATTTTTTAAAAGATTGATAAAGGAAAAAATCAAAAATTATGCAAAAAACAATCAATTTTGGCTAAATTATGCGGGGTGCATAAAACCACGGGGACAGACAATTACAGCCCTGTGTTTGTTCTAAACCACTGACTGTATTGATGGGGTTTTTTATGTTGTTTCTTTAAGTTTTACGGCACTTAGTGAGATCATGTAAGTGCCGAAGATTCGAGTTCGAGGTGTTAAAATAGGGTAACAAACAGGGGGCCCCTGTGGCCTAGAGTTTACGGTGTTCTCCTTTCATAGGTTCAATAAGTCCTGGGTTCGAAACCTAACAGCGATGGAAAATGTTTTTCTTAAAATAAAACGTATTCTCCTTTCACTTTCCCATCTTTTCTTGCTCTCATACCATGTTCTGTCGTCTGCTTTCATCTCCACTTTCTGCCCCCTCCTCTGGGCTCCTGGCTTTTTCTGCAGCCTTTCTACTGGGTACTCCTTGGCTTCTTACTGATCTTTTAGCCACACCCCTGGTCTTATGGTACGGTAGGTGTAAGATCTAATCTAACACCAAGCCTTCTCGGATAAGGGGAAAAAAAGAGGTCCCGGGTGCAAAATGCGCGCGTTTAAGTTAAAGATCCCTTGGACCACTTGGAGGTCCTAAAATCGATAAATAAAAGTAAGCTTCTGCCGCCAACCGAGCAAAATTCAAAATTCCCACAAAACTGGAAAAGTTTAATCCCGAGCGCTTATCATACTCATATGATGACCTTATGCAGTTGCGAGCGCCATAAAACACTTTTGTTTTGGTAACTAGTAGCTACTTATTCTGTCTCTGCGAATGGCAATCTCGCAAGATAGATCTAGATGAGGCAAGACTGGTCAGAGTTTGTCTCTAGTCCCTTCCAGTCTACCACTAATTACCGGAGGTAGTTACTTACTTGCCTTGTTCTATGCCCCCACCGAAACGATTTAGACCATTTAGGAGGCAGGATTCCAACCCTGCTTGTCAGGGTCAACCCCAGCTGAGAGGGATACAACATCCCAGCACGAAAACTGAGATACTTTATCAAATTTTCTCCCCACTCGGGAATCAAACTCAGGTCTCCAGCGTCGTGCGACAGCGAAGCGCCTAACTGCTACGTCACAGGCGCCGGAGGAAAGATATTGAACTAACTGTAACCAAACTCAAAAACTTCAACTGAACATTGAACTTCAAAATCAAACCAACGGCAAAGGCAGACCCACATCAAGAGAAACACTTGTCCAAAGCTTGGTTTCGGTTCATTTTCTTCTGCTTCGTTTTATTGATCACAAAAGATGATGACAAAGGATGTTTCAAGTCTTACCATTCATGGGCAGAACATATAATTTTATAACAGCAATAAAACCCTGTATATATTTAATTATAATATGTGCACACACGTACTTTCCTTTGTTGCCGACTGAAAAGTGACAGTGAAGCATGATCAAGTTCTAGATTTGCACCAGTAGAAGTAGAGACACACCGACTTGCTTCTGAAAAGTTTTCTTCGTATAGAGGTCAGAACAAGGCAAGACAGCAACTACAAAATTCCGTTCCCCACGCTGAGAAAATGATCCTCCTAAGCTGCATGACACAGAGCCGGGGATTCTCATTTGACTGTTGTATGGTAACTGTAGTGATTGATACAAACTACATCATTTAGGAGGCAGGCTGCCTCAACTCTGCCCGTCAGGACAGACCCGGGCTGAGAGGGGTATTGCATCCTCACAAGAGAAAGACGGAGACACTTGAAAAAATATGCATGAATTATATAAACTTCCCCAAGAGGGAATCAAACTCACGTCTTTGGCAGTTCAGTGAAAAGCCTAATCATTTCACTATAATTTACACTATTTATTATATTCTGTAATCAAATGTAGAAACACGATATGACACTATTATTACTAACTATCAAGCGGATATATAAATCTATGTTACTGAATGATGTATTCCCATCCCAATAAAAAGAGGCCTTGGCTGAATCCCTGCTGCTAGCCATTTTCCTCCTCACAAATTCTGAATGACGCCAAGATCGACGTCCAAAGCCGTGTTCTTCAAACTTTCAATTTTAAACTTAAAACAGTACATACGCGTGGACAAATCAAAATCCAGGTTGAGTGAGCATTAAAAATATGACCTTCCAAACTACACCCAAGAAATATTAGATTTTAAAAATTCTACAAACAACTCTGGAGCACAGTTAAAAATATAATATGGATATATTTTAAAGTTTAGCAAATAAAATATTTTTTCTATCGGTCCTAAACTGTTTACATAACTTTCATTTTGTTTGCCAAACTCTTGAAATGCAGCGGTTTATCATCACACAGTTACTTTGAATTCAAAGGGTCGAGCTGGTCTGAGCTATGAGCAAAGACCGAAATACTACCTGTGGGCCGAGGGTTGTTTATTGCATCATTACCCACTGCTCATGTTTGACGACATCCACACAGACGTACAATGTACAAGTAGTGTACACAAATGTTCCCAAGCCAAAACTCCTCGTTCAACACACACTTAACAAACTGGAGCAAATAGCACCTGGCACTCACAGATCAACTACTTCCGCCGCTGCTCAATGGCAAAAAGGTTCAAGGCTACTGTGTCAGATTAAACATCAATGTGTATAACTTTTTCCAATGTGTATCTATGTAACTCTAAAGGTCTTGTAAATAAATTTCTGAATGTGGTTGAATGATGCATCTGTTGTGATATGTACATTTTGTCAGCTTTACTTTTCTTTTCATATTGAATTTTAATTTAATGGGAACACGGTCCGGTACAGCCAAGAAAAATTCCCCTCAGGGACAATAAAGTATTATCTTATATAAATCTTATCTCTTATCTTACCACCACCAACCATTGAGGTCATCCTCTCTAAGTGCTGTCAGCATAGAAGCAACACCACTCATGTCTCTTATCCTGTGTTCAAAAACATCATATTGCAGCTTCAACTTATCTGCTGTGATTGAAACCAATGTTACTAAAACTCCATGCTGATCTTGTGAGCACACACAATCCCAGTGTCACTCACAGACATGACATATATCCTGACAGATATCTCAGAAATTCTGTAACATAATTTCTCTGGAAGCACAGTTTCGACTTCACTGCTGTCAGTCACGAAAGTCTCCAAACTCTTGACTTTATTTTTCAAAAGACTACTTTTTGGGGAGGATCAAGAATTACAAATACTAGTACTAGTAGCCTACCACTCTTTTAAAAGTGTGAATACTTTCTCCACCCTGTTCTCTCTGTCGTGATCGACATTTTCTCAGCATGTCTTTCTAAACATAGCTGAACCTGCCCCAGAACTGAGAGACTAAAGTACAAAACTTCCTCTCATAACCCAAGCAGAAGTGTGAGTGTGTGACTGACACACCAAAGTCTCCAAGGAATGCGAGTGGCAGCAACGACTGCTGGAAGTTTTGATGTTGTGTGCTTTCAGAGAGCTGAGAACCACACATCCAGTTTGGGTATGTTGAGTAATGAGAAACACATCGACGCAACAACGATCATTTAGAGCTGGGAAAAAGTAAGACAGATAGACAGAAACAATAGAGGGAAAGAACAGATGTGAGTTATCAGTGACGCCCTCCAACCGCCCACCCACATATTGACCGACTCGTAAAGCAACCACAGCTCTTGTACAGAACAAACATCGCAGTTTAATGTGATAAAATATACAAGTGTGAACAAAAGCACAAACAGACAAGCACATCTCCATTTAAATTCCCTGTCGTTTCCACCTCTCTCTCTCTCCCTCTCTCACAAAGAATTGACTCTGATATCAGATTTTAAAAAGTTTATACACTAAAAGAACCCCAAAAAATCTTGGACAGTCGCTCGCACACCCC